ACTTGATAGCATGCAGCCATTGGAAGTAATCATATGTTATCAGTGACAACTGGCAGACACATCCTTCCCTCAGGTGTAGCCTGAATGCACAGGAACCTTTGGGAGGGGGATGATGAACAGCAGCGCAGTGAAAAGCCTTGATGACATAATCAGCAGGTGGAGGAGAGCTTGAATAGGAGTGTAAAATACAGAAAAAATAAAGTCACAAACCAGCTGMGTGTACTGTTCTTTTCTGCCTTTCACAGCTGAATGGCTCAAGTTTTACTGCAACTAAAACGAAGTGAGACTGTGAGGTTGGTGCAGACCGGCTATTATCCGGCAGTCCATGAATGCACCACTTTTCAGAAAAAGGAAAGGAAAAAAATCACAATATGAAGCACTGACTGGCAGCATCTTATTCATGAAATATACTTTCTGATTCTCTTGGAATATGTATATGACTTTAGGAGTAATTTAATTTTGTTCTAATAAAAAGCTGCAACGGTGATGCAAAAACAGCTAATTTTGTTTGAGTTGTCTGATAGAGAGTTGTAGTTTTCTCACTGGTGGCTCCTCTTTAAAAATATTTTGGCACAATCATTTTTTTTTACCAGAACGTGCACAATAACAAGACATGGCGGTCTCAGGAAGCACACTGACTCTCCATGTGGAAAAGATGAAATGTTCTGGATGTTCAGGCYCATTGGTTTTGTTTTAAAGCAGCCGACACTAACAACGCTCCGCGTCTAAACAAGTCCTTTAAGGAGCAGCGAGTTGCATCCAGGACCGCCAACTCTCACGTGTGAAACTGATGCAATTTTGTCTGCACTTTATGCAAAACCTCCCACTGAACATGCAAATCTAAAATTAAAGACAGCAGCAACTGTGTGGTCTGACAGGTCAGAGCATCAAAGCTCTGCTGCTCGTTGTTCGGGTTGATTTGAAGGAAAATTAGAAAAATCTAAAAGCAGTCACTCTTTCATATTGTTTTCTTTTTTTAATTTATTTCATGCAAATTGTTGGTTCTTTGTTGATAAACAGTTTTTTTTTGCTTTTAAAACAGAAGTAAAAATGTTGATTTGATGCCTCACTGACATTTATATGCATGCATARGTACAGTATTTATTTATTAATTTAGGTCTGGACAGCAATACATCATTTAGTGAATAAAAATCTAAAAATATGCAGCCTGTCAACAATCCTGTTTTGACAACCAGCATTAGCTTAAAAATACTCCATAGCAGGTTTTCCCATTTTTATTGGAGGGAAATTACAATTTCTGTAGCTTTTTTATTATTATCATTTTCCTATTTCCATCCCCATGTGTGAGTAAATGTCAGACTTGACTGTCATTTTATAAAATGAGCAAAAACATACTGTATGTGGAAAAGGTTAATGTATTCTCAAGTTAATGATTTAAGGCAGATGGGGTGTCAATTTTCTGGATTTGTATGCAGGAAGTGAAGTATACTATAAACAAGAAGTATTTGTTTAGATTTATTCCTATGCATGATTATACGTTGTTGTTTTACTGTATTAAAATAATTTTAATTGTGTGCATTTTGCCCTTTTTCTTCATAAAGTTATTGTAAAATAAATTAATTCTTCAGTTTTTCTCCATGTGAATATCTCAAAATATGAACATTTGTACATATTCATGAAGGAAATTGAATCTTGGAGGCCATGAATTATTTAGTGTTTACTTCACATCGCTTCCATCCAATATAAATAGAAATAAAATTACTGCTGACACTGGCTTATAATATATCATCAGCTTTTGCTTCCAATAGAGCTACCACAAACTTAAAGGGGCTATAATCATGRAAAAGCAACTTTTTTAGCTTTATATCATGTTGTATTGTTACCCTCTTGTCAAAACATGTCCAGAGTCTTGCTTTGACTCATTCACGCACGTTTGATAAATCCTGTAGTGTCCTGAGGCAGCCAGGCAGGGGAGCAAAAKCGACTGGTTGGGACTAGAACCACCTTTTGGAACCAGCTCCTCCTCTGGGCTGTGTCTCCAAGCCCCTTTAAAGGAACCATTTATCCATTTTAAAATGAGGTTCTGTGGAGTCAGTTACCTATCTGTTGTKGATAGCTCTTTGCACTTTTTCAATGTGGAGAAATAGAGTTTAACTCAAACCTGTARYARCAGSTAACAGCTACATCTCTTTTGTGGCTTCTATTACTCAACAAATTCAACTTTAAGGCATATTTATTACTTATTTATGTTGAACACCTTTTGTTTCAGGCTCAACCTGGGTAAGAATGACCAGCTGACGTTCTACGATGGCGATGACCTGACAGCCAACATCCTGGGTCAGTACAGCGGCACACGGCCCCARTTCAAGCTCTACACCTCCATGGCTGATGTCACCATCCAGTTCCAGTCAGACCCTGCCACCAACATCTACGGCTACAACAATGGATTTGTGGTTCATTTCTTTGGTAAAACTCTAGTGTTGAACATTAATCGATTTTTTTTTTCTTTTCTGTGTAGCGCCCATCAATAACCTTCTCTTTTATTAAATGAACAAGTAAAATCAATCCTTTATAAGAAAAAGACAAAGAAATGAGAATACTGAGTGTTATCTGCAGAACAGGGAATGCTTTTTTTTCTTCTGCTTCTGTGCCTTTTCCTTCATGTTTCTTACTGCGCGTCTGTCAGTTTTGCTTTCTGACTTACCTCAGGTGAAACAGAATTAGGTAACAGCAAACAAAGGAGCCCAGTAATAAGATACACATCGACATCAGCTGGTTTCTGCCCACTGTTTCCTTGCTACTGGCCATGTATGCAGCACTCAGGGAGGCCCAGATTGACGGGTGCCAAACCACATGCTGTGCTCCTTCCAGCACACARCACAAGCCTCTATTTTCATTTTCCTCTCCAACCATGGCTGTTTAAAGCACAAAGAAAAGAAAAAAAAATGCATACAATTGTGCAGTCACATTGATTCCCTGCAGAGAGTGTCACATATTAATGCCTGGCTTTCCTTGAYGCTTTTAAACACATCTTTTTGGTAAACATCTTGTACAAAAATTATAGTTTTGTTTATTGTGCTCCTGCCTTTTTTTTAGTTTTTCATTCAAATTTTTTGTCTTTTCTTTCTTTTACTGCCAACACAATTCAACGGCCCTYTTGCCAACAGAGGTGCCAAGGAACGACACTTGTCCAGAACTGCCAGAGATTTCCAATGGGTGGAAGAGCACGTCCCACCCAGACCTGATCCACGGCACAGTCGTCACGTACCAGTGCTACCCTGGCTTCACACTGGTGGGCTCRGAGATCCTCATGTGCCAGTGGGACCTCACTTGGAGCGGCGATGTGCCAAAATGTGATGAAGGTGAGTGAAAGTTAGTTCTCAGTTTGTTGGTGCAYGATTAGTGGGGGACTTTATAAGTTATGTGACATTCAGAGTTTTTAGACTGTTTGTGGTTTTGAACTCAGCTTTAAGTCCGAGCAACTGAGTGTCACTTAAAAAAAGTAATGCAAAAATTAGGAATATATGACTCAGTATTTAAAATGCTGTAGCACTTTAAATTTTAAGTTTAAAGTATTTGGAGCATTACAGTTTTGTCAAATATTTAATTTTCTATTACCTTTTAAAACATTTTCTCTAAATCAGTTAGTGTCACCGAGGGCCACYTGAGCATTATGGTGGCCCTCAAAAGACCACTTGTAATTAACTTTCCATGTTTAACTTCAACTAAACATCAAACGTCACGTTCCTCATGTCATCGCTATGGCTGAGCATGTTTAACTTCAACTAAACATCAAATATCACGTTCCTCATGTCATCGCTATGGCTGAGCACTGCTAACAAAAAAATAATAATGAGCTCTACGTTGTATTTCGTAGACAGAAACAGTGTTTCAACACACACTCATAAACTATGTGTATGATTGACTAAATGTGGAATAAATAATACAGAAATACTATTAAAAGGAAATGTAAGAGAGTTTTACTCACAGTTGGGTTGTGGTGAGTAGCTATCATCTAGAATTCTGAAGTGTCCCACTTGCAGACAAATGCAGCTAAAAGGAGATTTGACYTGGCAAATTTAACTGGCTCCCGGCTACTTTTGAGCCCTGCGCACCTCCACCTGGTGGGATGCCACCATTTAAAGTAAAGTAATCAATGCATTATGGGAGATGTAGTTTGTGGTCAAGGCTGGCTTTAAGGCAGCATACGCTCTCGCAGGTCACATCTGGCCTTGACTTCGACACATGTAGTTTAAAGCAGTAGTTCCCAAACTTTTTAGCTTTTGACCCACAAAATAACAGTAGCAGAGACCTGTGCCCCCAGCTTTTTTTGGATGATAAACTTTTGTATCAGGTCAACTAAACATGGGCATAGTAACAATATTTTTATACTACATTTATCCATTTTAAATATACTAACCTCACTCCTTTGTAACAACTAAGGCAAAAATGTAATTAATTCAGAAAATTTTTTCAGGACCCCACCTTGATGTTTGAGGACCCCACTTTGGGTCCTGACCCCAACTTTGGGAAACACTGGTTTAAAGTGTTGCTCTGTGCCAGCTGTTCTATCCTTACTTTAGGTTGTAAAAAGGAGTGAAAACTTCAGGTTTATGAGTTTCTTTAGGACCTCAAACTTTATTTGCAGAACTTTTTTTAATTAAAAAATTGTCTTTTTTTTTCATTGTTGCAACTCATTTGGCCAGCAAGGACTTCGGTTTTGTGGTGAATATTAATAAACTTCAATGAAAAATGATCATTTAAAATTTCGCTTCAGATGTTTTAAAGTAGTCAGACTAAGAATAATTTCAAAATGTCAGCTTAACCTGAATAAGCAGTTAGACTGATAATATTTTAGCATTCAGAATAACCCTTAAATTATGTTAGAAAAAGAATACTTCACAAAACTAATTAAATTATATACACTTTTTTATTAGTATTTATTGCTGATAATGTTTTGGGTTGCTGTGAAATAAGAACTACATGCCAATTATAAATAACATTATTAAAGTATCATGGCACTTTTTGCAGTAACTCCATGACATTTTTCATTGCTCCTACCACCATCACTGGCTGTAAACAAACCTTTTTTTTTCTCGTATTATTTTGATTTTGTTTCATCCCATCAGTTCTGACATGTCGAGATCCTGGAAATGTGGAGCACAGTCGCAAAGTGATCACCGGCAGCCGTTTTGCCGTTGGGTCGACTGTCCAGTTCACCTGTAACAAAGGTTACATCCTGTCTGGCTCCAGCACCCTCACCTGCTACAACCGAGACTCCGCTGTGCCCAAATGGAGCGACAGGCTGCCTAAGTGTGTCCGTAAGTCACATATATTATATTTTAACCTCCTCGCCTCCACGTCAAGCAAACACTTGATTTACTATGTTCTTCTTKTTATTATTATTATTATTGTTTCTCAGCTGAAAAGTACGAGCCGTGCAGAAACCCCGGAGCCGCCTCCACAAGCATACAGAGCTCCGAAAAGGCCTTTTACCAAGCAGGAGAAACTTTAACTTTCTCCTGTCACTCTGGTTACGAGCTGCAGGGCGGGGCCACRATCTACTGTGTCCCTGGACACCCGTCGCAGTGGAACAGCACCCCTCCTGCCTGCAGAGGTGAAACTAGTACTGTTAGAAAAGAATAGCCTCAAATACCTGGAAATACAAAACAAACTGAACAATAATGTATGATATGGATTTTGAGGCTGTTTCTGAGAGTATCTGTTTACCTGACAGCAATATAAAGGTATAATAAACCTGGCCTTTGTCTTTAACCAATGCTCAATTGTTTGTTTGTAGCATCCTCAGCGCAGTACGTGAATGAACGAAGGCTTGATGGTGAGTCATGTAGCAGATAATATTGATATTTCTTTGTTTGTTAAATTGCACCAAAATAATTGTTTCCCTATTCCCCCATTCTTTTAGTTGTTAATATGGATTATAGCATGGAGGGAACCAATATTACTCTCGCAGTTTTTATTCCAACCGCCATCGTCCTGGTGGTTGTTTTGGGGATTTACGTCTACTTTGCAAAGTAAGAACCGGCTAAACTTTAATCTGTTTCATTTGCAATCAAAAGCAGCTTTACGAGATGTTGCCTGCTTTTTTTTTCTTCCTTRTTTTTRCCCCTTCTCGCTCAGACTTCAAGGGAAGTCTATCCGCATGCCGACACCTTCYCCCCCGTACGACAACATGACAGAGGAGTCAGCGTTTGACAACCCCGTCTACGAGAGCGGAGTAAGTACAGATGTCATGAGCATGCAATACGTTGACTCACAGAACACCAGTGTGCTGTCGTGATCCTCTCCCATCTGGCTGTCATCCACCAACTCCACACACGTCATCTCATGTGGCACCAGCAGAGGGCGCTGTCCTCATCCTCTGCTACCATCACCACTTCATCAGCAGAAACAACCTCTCAGTGTGAATGATTCCCAACAGGGGTAGCACAAAGGACATTTTCCCCCTCCTCTGAGGTCAGAGGTCATTTACATGTTGTTTTTTTTTTCTTTCTGCATCTCAGAGTTGAATGTTGGACATATTGTTACCATTCCAGTTTTCATGTCTCATGTTAAATATCTAATGGCAAATATACATCGGATTTCTCTTTATTATTTTTTTTCCTGCTTCCTTAGCATTGGCAGACTCGTTGTAGATACTAAACCCTGTCAGTATTTCTACTTTGGCTTTACTGCAAAACTACTAAAAGGTGAGATTTTATCATCATTATTATTATTTATTTTGAGGAGCACAGCAGGCTTACTGTCTAATGATCCTTAAAACATCACTGTATTATTATTACTATCCTTGTTGTTGTTGTTGTTATTTCTTTATTTATTTGTTTTTTGCTAACTTTCCTGAAATTCAATAAATATCTGTATTGTTAACTGATTAAAAACACATAATTCAAATATATTTATGCAAAATAATGTCTAATTTGACAACACTTTTTCTAGCATACCTAAAACTTTTTGTACAGTACTGTAAATTATACATAAAGTACAAAATAAAAGACCTAAATGTTTTTAGGTTTTTAGACCTTCCATCATTTTAACCTATCCAGAAAACAATAATAATTAAAAAAAAGATTTTGTTTTTCTGCTGTTAACTGTCAGTGTTTGCTCATTTGAATTAATCAAATACAATAGTTCATATTTGAGTGTTTGTTCACAACCAATAATGAAGTGCAGTGTTCTTAAATTCAAACTTGCCTAAATAAATCATTAAGTTTAAAGCTATATTTAGATTGACAACAATGCTAGTTTTCTTCTGTCACRATGTTGTTTTGTTAAGCCTGTACTTCTCCATGGGCTGACTTCTTTCTGCAAGCATAAGTTAAATGTGCTAAATGGGAGAATTARCTTGAAAAATACAAATGCTGCACCCACAAAACTGAAATACCATCATTTCTAGGAAAGCTGCAGCATCTAAAATATATTACTCTCAATGCTAGAAAATCTGTGATCCCTATAAATGCATTAYTATAAATAATGCAACAGCAGTGCCATTTAAATGACTTACATTGAATGCTAAAAAAWTGCACCATTTAAAATAAATTATTAMWAATGCTGCAAATGCTGCTATAGCTTTTGCAAAAGCTGCAATGTCTAAAATAAGACAATACGACATAATATTAATAATAAATACTCTTGTTTCAGTATTTATTTTTACATTTCCATTGTTAAAATAATGTAAAAATATGGGGAAATGTATTTTTAGATTTATTCTCCAAACTTTTTTTTGTTTGTTTAAAATTAATAAGACAGTTTTCTGATTGTCCCATGTGTTATTTTTGTATTTAACTTATTTCTTTTAATCACACTGTACCACCCTCTGGTCCCTGTTTGTATTTGTGATTAACTGTCTGTCTTTACAGGACAAATTGATAAAGACAAAGAGGTGTCCATTTAAAGACCTTAAAGCAAGAACTGTTCAAGCTTTGCCTTTTGGGACCCTCTCTGCACTGCTCATGTTTATCTCCAACTTTTTTTATTCTTTTAATTTTCCAGTTAAATTTCTGTTTCATGCCCCCTTTTGTTTGTATTCATGTAAATAAGTCTTATTTTTTTCTGTTTTTGCAGTCAGATCTGTGAATCTGTGTTACACCATGGTGATATTTTTATACAGAAAGTTGTTGACGACCATTGGTGACTATGTTTTTGAGTACTTCTTGGTGGCCTAAGCAAGTAATATTTAGAAAAGACTGCAAGGATTTTAGAAGGATTTACAGATTGCTGAGATCACTTGATTAAACTCCCCCATCATTCAACAGTCTTTGCAAACTTTGCCATTATTTCTTTGTCTTTGTGAGTGTGTGCGTGCGGGGATGAAATATTGAGCTAATTGTAAATAAACTGCCTGTCTAATAAGAGTGCCTCACGACTGACTATAAACCTGAGAAAATGACGCGCAGATGTTTGTAAAACCCACATATTCAGTGATCAGTTTATAAATGTCTTGGCTTTCCTGGGACTCATCTCCTTTGTGCATTTTTACTCTTAACACAGTTTTCTTTCAGCATCACAGCTGTTGCAGCAACACCCAGGAAATCCATTCCCCTTCATTCCCTGAATAATATAATAAAATAAACTGTTGTTTTACCTGTTGTGACTGACTCATTAATGACTAAACACTTTTTTGAAGTGTCTCTCAACTGTTAAAGTAGAGCACCACCTTGTGGGCTAATATAAAAACCAACATTATGTTTGATAGAAGTAAAAAAAAAAGAAAAAAAAACATTACTGAGAAGAATGCATTATTGTTTTATAATATTGYGATTAAAATGTGTATTTGTAATGGTTTTCAATGTAGCCAGTTTCCCACACTAACAAACCCAATAAAGTTACTGTGCAGTTATGGGAACATTTGAAAGTTTGAAAATAATTAAGACTAAAAACAACAAATATTTTTGTCAGAAAAAAAATCATTTATTGACTGCATTAAGAAAGAAAAAAGGGAAAAAAAGGAAATGTATGGCTAATTTTTGACCCCCAAGAGTTAATAAAAGTGTTAACAAAAACTCCTGCTACTTTAAGTTGTAATTGTGAATGTTTATGTTCCAGTTGATACTCTTAGTTCAGGTATTTCAGACAAGGTTTTAACTGTAGATGGCAGCATTGTAACATATAAAACTTACAACAAGTTGTTGAACTTTTAGGCTCTTGTTCACACTATAACCATTCAAGTAATGCCTGGAAACACCTATTATCCTTCTTTTATCCAGGTTATATCTGTTCATAATTATTAATTACTTTTTTAAGCAATTTTATTCAGAAATARCAAATATAAAACTGAAAGCAACATCTTCAGATCAAAACATACTCATTTTACCCTCAGTTAAACTTGTAATGATTGTAAGCTTTACTCTTTGTCTTTCAAGATTACAATGTTCAAAAATGTCAAATACAATCAGCTCAGTTCAAGATTATTTAAAGTTGGGGAAAAAAAAACAGGGCAACAAAATTTCATCCACACAAGGAGGAATTTGTAGACAATTTGACAAAGGTTATACATTTTTATTTCTACTTCCAGAATGATCTGATTGAGACTTTTGAGTGTTTTCTATCTCAATTCTTTTTTTTTTTTGCACTGCCATTTTCCAGCTTATTCTTCTAAGCTTTTAAGCATTAGAAATTGTTGTATTATAAGTGACTTTGCAAAAGATGAGTTTGCAAATACAGCAGCTGATCGATCAGTTTCACCTGATTTGATCTTCTGAATGGATCCACTAAATATAATCCAGCCCTGTCAAAAATCTTCTCAGTCCTCTGCTTTTTAATGAGCATTGTGGTGAATTATGTCTAATAAAGTGATTTGTTTTATATGAGGTGCATCCAGCCAGAGGCTTTTATCACCATGTCAGGTTTTTTTTTTTTATTTTAATTTTATTTTTTTTGGTTTTGGGCCTGTGTTTATGTGGGAGCTGGTTTATCTCAGTGGATCGCTCGAAAGCACTCACCCATGATTTCAGCTGAGCTTTCACTCTGATGTGGGGGACATGGAGCAGCTTGGGCCATTAAAATGCTAATTTCTGGAGAAGTGTGAGAAGGGGACCTCGACTGGGAATCCACCCGTGTATTAACTCTTTGTGCGTGTGTGTGTGTGATTTATTTGTTTACCACTGACAGGGTAGCTCAACGTAAACTGTTAGAGATTGAGAATATTCACTTGTATAATAAAGCACAAACAGACAAAAAGTAAATTGTTTCATAATTTTATTGGCACTGCTGCAGTTCAGACTCATTGTTTGTTGCTTGTGTGAGAGAGTGGGGTGAGGGTGTGCATGGTTTTTACTTCAAATTAGTTTTTTTTTAACTGAAAGGCTTAACAAAATTTGATAACATCAGGGGGAAAAAAAACAACTCAAGCTCGTCACGGTCTGATTCCACAACGGTAGGTCATCATTACACTCCATGGCACATCTTTTTTTTAAATAATAACTACATGAAAAGGCATTAACTGTGATGTTATGCAGTTTGAACACTGGTTAAAATGTGTAGAGGGCCATTTCAAATGTATCTTGTGGCTCAACAGTATAACTGAATATTGTTTTGTGTGTGTTCCTATAAGATACAGTATATTTAAATACAATGAAATGATGCCCTACTAATACAATGTGCTAAAATATATTACAATTCAAAAGGCTACATCACTACATGTTATGACAAGACACCAAACAATCTGATGAGAAACAGGGCAACATAAGGACAATTGAATTATAATAGGAAACATTACATTACAATAGGATGTGATAGAGAGAAAGGTCTTCTCACTGAGAGGCAGCATTACTAACCACTGCACCACCCCAAGGTATACTAATCAGCAATACTATTAAATAAGACAAGATATATTTTATATGATGGTYTATCTGCTGCATGTAGCCTCTCAGTAAGAAGATTACCTCCAAGCTAGTGTTTTTTTATTGTGGACCTTTCTCCCACTGCAAGCTTTGGAGGCTTTTCTCCTCGTACTCCTGGTCCCTCCCACAGACCCAAAACAGACATGCTGGGTTAATTGGCAACTCTAAATGTGTCCCAAGGTGTGGGCAAGAGTGTGAATGGTTGTTTGTCTCTATGTGTCCCTGTGATGAACTTGTCACCTGTCCAGGGTGTTTCCCGCCTCCCACACAGTGATTGCTGGAGACAGGCCCAGCTCTCCACAACCCAGAGAGGAGAAACGGGAAAATAAAATGAATGAATGGATAATACGCTCCAATAAGAAAATGATATGATGTATTCTGCCGTACTATGCATTATGTTTAGGCACTGTATACAGATAAACCAACAAAGCATTTAACCCAAGCTGTACAATTTACCATACATTTTTACAAAATTAATTGGAAAATATCCTATTAAATGCTACTAACCTGTTGTGTTTTTGGAGATAAAGCCTGCACATCAGGGCTGAAAGTCCCAGCTTCACATCTGCACACAATCATGGAGTCATGTGACCTCTTTTTAAGGCAACAAATACTAAACATTGAAAAGCAGTGAGTCAACAAGTGTCAACACTTGCAAAAAACATTACCAGAGGTGTGTTTTTTATATAAATCCATCAGGACAATGACTCTGTACCAGTTTGTTGTGGTGAGAGGGAAAGCTCTCTGTTTAGCAATCAGTGGTTCCTAKCCTCACCTATGGCCACAAACTTTGGGTGATAACTGAAAGAACAAGACCATGGATGCAAGCAGTCAAAATGAGTTGTCTCCGCAGGGTAGCTGGACTCTCTCTTTTAGGGTGAGAAGTTCTGCTATTTGGGAGAGACTCAGAGATCCGCTGCTCCTCCACGTTGAAAAGAGCCATCTGAGGTGGTTTGGACATCTGGTAAGAATGCGTCCTGGATGCCTCATAGGTTCTTCAGACATGTTTGAGTGGGAGGAGACTTCAGAGAAGAACCTGGGCATGCTGGAGAGAAAATGTCTCCTGTACGGCCTYGGAACGCCTTGGAGTCCTCCCAGAAGAACTGGCTGGTGAGAGAGAGGTCTGGGTCTCTCTGCTCAAACTGCTGCCCCTGTGACCCAACTCTGGAACAAGCTGAAGATGATGGATGGATGGATGGATGGATGGATGGATGGATGGATGGATGGATGGATGGCCAGTGTCCCATTCGTTTACACAGATTTTAATTACAACCAGCACAGTGGGGGGGGGGGGGGCACTCATTTTGTTTCAGCTTCAACTTCCTAGTTCTGTTCTTGTGTCCAGTTTACAATATATACCAAGCATGTTTTGAGCAGGAAATACTTGTGAATGTGCTGGAGAGAACATTTCTCCCAACCAGCTTCATAGTATAATGTGATAAGTGTTTTATTTTTCCTGTGTAGAAATATCCATACCATGCTGGCTTCCTGTTTGTGACACAGTTTTTTTAACAGCCACCTCACTCTCTCAGAGTGTGTAAGAAATACAGTCACAGTCTCTGCTGCAAGTGTGAACACAAATTTTCAATATGGTCAGTCTGACTAAAGAAACCTATAGTTGTAGACAAATATTTTATATTCAAATTTTACCATTTATACCTCAGTCAGGAGACTCTGGTGTTTTCAAGCAGCAGTTCTTAATGATGCCAACAGGTGGCAACGTGGTACCAAATCAGCTTTGCATCAAGAGCATCATGGAGAACCATCTCCAGCACTTAATACTCCCACAGTGCAGAAGTGGCAGGCTGCGGATGGCTCACAATTAAACTAAAATGTCCTGCTCACAATCCAGTGGAGACCAGGACATGGCAATTAACCCACTAATACAGCAGACCATTAGACCTCCCGCTCTGTTTCAGCACACACACTCACCACAGGGCTGAGTTTAATGGAATGACATGTTCAAGGAGTCTGCTGCACAGTATCCACTGAATGAGGRGAAATCAAGAAGCAGAATATAGAAAATATGAAATGAGGCAGTGTTTATTGCARTCTAATTGGGAGTAAAATGGATGTGAATGAAATTAGTAAATATGTTTTTATTTAAACATTTTCCCTTTAAATTGATTAATGAGGGATTTGATTGTTGACCTCGAGGTTCATTTCATTTTTCCATAAACCTTTGAGTTTTTTTTTGTTGAGATTGACTAAACATTTAAAACTACTCATATATATAT